TGTGCGTCTTTGTCGTCTGCTCACCTGCTGGGTTCCAGTTTTTAAACCTAGGCCTGTGTATGGCTTCCGAATACTGCTGCCTCCACCGCCACCCTGCGCCATGTGCCTCTGTCGTCTGCTCACTGCTGCTGACGGCTTCCGCTTTTTAACCTAGGCCTGTGTATGGCTTCCGAATACTGCTGCCTCCACCGCCACCCCTGCGCCATGTGCCTCTGTCGTCTGCTCACAAGCTGCTGACGGCTTCCGCTTTTTAAACTAGTCCTGTGTATGTCTTCCGAATACTGCTGCCTCCACCGCCACCCTGCGCCATGTGCCACTTTCGGGTCTCCTCACACTGCTGCCAGGTCCATACTGATTCATGGCCCCCTGTACCGGCTCCTCATGAACGTGGTTCAGCGGGTTTGCATCACTTAACGGCAAATCGTTGACAAATGCTGGGGACGTTCAGTGTTGTGCGCATTAAGCCAGACACCAAAGGGCAGCACAGACCTGTTATTACTCGCTCAAGCATGGCTGAACAAAACCAGTCTCTCTACCACAAATTGGACCCAGACCTGCCCAGGGTCTCGTAACTAGATTGCACGGAGGAGTAGAGTCCGTTATCGGAATTAAATAGACAAAACGCCACACCAAAAAAGAGTGGCCATTTCCAACACTTATTCCAGAAAGAGGAACAACCCGTTTCATATACGGCCCGTAGACGTTTCACGTCTGCCACATTCAGTCGATTTTAAGACGCAAGCTCCACTTCCTGTGGTCTCTGACCGTCGATATACCTCAAGTGTCAGCTTTGAAGCTATATTCCCTCCGGAGCACTGACACTGGTGCCCCTTCCTGTCAACATGCCTTTAAGTTTCAGTTTTCAACCATATTCCCCACAGAAGCCAAACTCTTGGGTATCCCAGAAGCTGCTCAGCGGGTCAGGGCAATAAAGCTCCCCGGTTCGCAGGTTGTTCCGTCTTATGGATGGAAGTACGACGGTATATGATCTCCTCTTCGCACCCACGGCATTACCTCATAAAAATTTCTGCATTGCATCTGCAATCACAACGCTGACTTCCCGGATCGCCACTCAGCCATTGGACTCTTGATAGTCGTCTCCCCCACACTGCTGCTGGGGGGACTTTTAAACCTAGGCCTGTGTATGGCCTTCAATTGAAGCTGCTTCCCCCGCTCCGCCACTCTGCCATTGGACTCTTGATAGACGTTCTCCCCCCACGCTGCTGCTGGGGGGACTTTTTAACATAGGCCTCTGTATGGCCTTTAATTGAAGCTGCTTACGCTCCACCCGCCACCTAACCCTGCCATGGGCCCTACTTGGGTATCCCAGAAGCTGCTCAGCGGGTCAGGGCAATAAAGCTCCCGGTTCGCAGGAATTTTTGTTCCGTCTTATGGATGGAAGTACGACGGTATATGATCTTCTTCGCACCCACCGGGCACACCTCATAGAATTTTAACTGCATTGGCAATATCATCTGCAATCACAAAGCTGACTTCCCGGTATCGCCACTCAGGGCCCAGCAGCCATTGGACTCTTGATATTCCGTCTCCCCACACTGCTGCTGGGGGGACTTTTTAACCTAGGCCTGTGTATGGCCTTCAATTGAAGCTGCTTCCGCTCCGCCACTCTGCCATTGGACTCTTGATAGTCGTCTCCCCACGCTGCTGCTGGGGGGGGGACTTTTTTAACATAGGCCTCTGTATGGCCTTTAATTGAAGCTGCTTACGCTTTCCGCCACTCTGCCATGGGCCTCTTGGGTATCCCAGAAGCTGCTCAGGGCGGGTCAGGCAATAAAGCTCCCCGGTTCGCAGGTTGTTCCGTCTTATGGATGGAAGTACGACGGTATATGATCTTCTTCGCACCCCCACGGCATCACCTCATAGAATCTCTCTGCATTGCATCTGCAATCACAACGCTGACGTTTTCCCGGATCGCCACTCAGGCCATTGGACTCTTGATAGTTCGTCTCCCCACACACTGCTGCTGGGGGACTTTTTTTTTTAACCTAGGCCTGTGTATGGCCTTCAATTGAAGCTGCTTCCCCCGCTCTGCCCGATAGACGTCACCCCACTCTGCCATTGGACTCTTGATAGTGCCGTTCTCCCCACCCTGTCTCCCCACGCTGCTCAGCTGGGGGGCAATAAAGCTCCCGGTTTTCCGCAGCCACTTTTTAACATAGGCCTCTGTATGGCCTTTAATTGAAGCTGCTTAATCACAGCACCGCCACTCTGACCCATGGGCCTCTTGGGTATAATCGTCCCCCAGAAGCTGCACTCAGCGGGTCAGGGCAATAAAGCTCCCGGTTCGCAGGTTGTTCCGTCTTATGGATGGAAGTACGACGGTATATGATCTTCTTCGCACCCACGGCAGGGCATCACCTCATAGAATCTCTGCATTGCATCTGCAATCACAACGCTGACTTCCCGGATCGCCACTCAGCCATTGGACTCTTGATATCCCAGAAGCTCTCATCTCCCCACACTGCTGCTGGGGGGACTTTTTAACCTAGGCCTGTGTAATGGCCTTCAATTGAAGCTGCTTCCTCCGCTCCGCCACTCTGCCATTGGACTCTTGATAGTTGTCTCCCCACGCTGCTGCGGGGGGGACTTTTTAACATAGGCCTCTGTATGGCCTTTAATTGAACTTGCTTCCGCCGCTCCGCCACTGCTGCCTGGGGGGACTTTTTATGTTCCCCTAAGCCGCTTAGCGGGTAGGGAATGGGCCTAATAGCTCTGCATTGGACATTGAATCACAATGCTGACTTCCGGATCCACTCAGCCATTGGATCTTGAAGTACGACGGTCGTCGTCCCTTCTGCTGCACCGCCACTTTTTAACTCTGCATTGTATGGCAATCACATTGGAGCTGCTTCCGATCGCCACTCAGCCATTGGACTCTTGATGTCGTCTCCCCACGCTGCTGCTGGGGGGACTTTTTAACCTAGGCCTCTGTATGGCCTTTAATTGAAGCTGCTTCCGCTCCGCCACTCTGCCATTGGCCTCTTGAAGGCTATCCGTCTCCTCAGCGGGTCAGGGCAATAAAGCTCCCGGTAAACCTCGCAGGTGTATGGCGTCTTTGGATTGAAGTACTGATCTTCTTCACCCCACTGGCATTACTCTTGATATTTCCCACATCTGCTGCTGGGGGGACTTTTTAACATAGGCCTCTGTATGGCCTTCAATTTAAGCTGCTTACGCTTTTTCGCCACTCTGCCATGGGAAGCCCTGTACCGCTCCTCCTCTTGACTGCTGCTGCCACGGTCCCAGGGGGGTGTGTAACCATGGGTCCCTGTACGGCCTTCCTCCCTGCTTGCTGCTGACTTCATTCGCCAGTGGACTCTTGCCATTGGACTCTTGATAGTGTGCCACTTTCAGGTGGGGGACTTTTTACACTGTTGGTGGGTTCCTTCAATTTTGATAGGGGCTTGCTGTATGGCCTTCCATTGCTGCTGGTCCAGAGGCCTCCACCGTCCCCCCTGCGCCATGTGCCTCTGCTCGTCTGCTCACAGCTGCTGACCATGGCTTCCGCTTTTTTACACCGAGGCCATTTTGTGTTTGGGGTCCGAATACATTGCTGCTGCCCCACCGCCACCCTGCGCCATGTGCCTCTGTCGTCTGCTCACGCTGCTGACGGCTTCTGCTTTTTAACCTAGGCCTGTGTATGGCTTCAGAATAATGCTGCATCCACCGCCACCCTGCGCCATGTGTCTCTGAGTACTGCTCATGTTGCCAATGCACGCCACCCTTTTAACCTAGGCCTGTGTATGGCTTCAGAATAATGCTGCCTCTGTCGCCACCCTGCGCCATGTGCCAGCTGCTCACGCTGCCAGGTCCATACTGATTCATGGCCCCCTGTACCGGCTCCTCATGAATGTGGTTCAGCGGGTTTGCATCACTTAACGGCAAATCGTTGACAAACGCTGGGACGTTCAGTGTTGTGCGCATTAAGCCAGACACCAAAGGGCAGCACAGACCTGTTATTACTCGCTCAAGGATGGCTGAAACAAAACCAGTCTCTACCACAAATTGGACCCAGACCTGCCCAGGGTCTCGTAAGTAGATTGCACGGAGGAGTAGAGTTCGTTATTGGAATTAACTGTGAGGGACTTTTAAACCTAGGCCTGTGTATGGCCTTCAATTGAAAGCTGCTTCTGCTCCGCCACTCTGCCATTGGACTCTTGATAGTCGTCGTCTCCCCACGCTGCTGCTGGGGGGGACTTTTTTTAACATAGGCCTCTGTATGGCCTTCAATTTTAGCTGCTTACGCTCCGCCACTCTGCCATGGGCCCCCTGTACCGCCTCCTCATGCTGCTGCCAGGCCCGTAATCTGCCATGGGCCCCCGTACCGACTCCTCATGCTGCTGCCAGGCCCGTAATCTGTCATGGGCCCCTGTACCGCCTCCTCATGCTGCTGCCAGGTCCAGAGTGTGTCATGGGTCCCTGTACGGCCTCCCATTGCTGCTGTCTCCATCGCCACACTCTGCCATGTGCCACTTTCAGGTGTGAATCAGCCGAACCGAATTTTTGAATAATTCGCTCATCTCTAGAAATCATGTTACACAGACTGTAGTGTGTTTCTGCAAAACACTGAGGAAAACGCTTATGTGTGAACCAAGGGTAAAGGTGGAAAAAGTTCTGAAATTATTTATCTTTGTCTCATTTTTTTACATCACAGAAACCTGACATTTTAATAGGGGAGTGTAGACTTTTTATATCCACTGTATGTTAACCGGAGTAGCATACAGACACATGTACATACATATTAGTTTTACCTGACATCTTTAGGCGTATTGGCTTGGGTCCTCATACATCCAGAATCCTATCCATCGAATTGCTACCCAACTTTCCCAATGTTCATTTGACACACCCAGAAATGTGCAACTGTAGCAAAGATGAAAGTGGACATGTTTGATAAATATTTACAATCTCTGTTACTATTTTTGTATTGGATTGTTTTGTGTTTTTTTTCCTTTTTGCTTACCTTTGTGTTTCTGTTTTAGTTAGCAATAGCCAAGAATAATATTATCAAATTGCAAGAGGAAAACCATCAATTAAGGAACGACAATGCCATGATTTTCATGAAAGCTCATCAACATCTAGAGGTAGAAATATTTTTTTTCCACAAACAGATGTTATTATTCTGACATACTTGATCATTTAAAAGTAAGGGCCCACGCCACTCCTGTCTTCTGTCATATACAGGGAAGCCAGGGATAATATCAACCATACCATTAACCTGCTTTCCTTGGCTCAATGCAGATTGATCCCATCTTGCTGTCAGACAGTTGAGCAGAGCAGGCCATCGACTGGGTACATTGGTCATTCCTGAAGCTATCCTTCTACAGTTAAACATGGGATATACCTTTTATAGCAAAGGTTTGGACCCTCTACACTGACCCCATGGCTAGGATTCTCCTTAATTATACTGTCTGCACCTATGTCTATGTTTAACAACAAAAGACAGAGTTGACTCCTGTCCCTATTATATGTTCTTATGGTGGAGCATTTTGGTAGTGACCATCAGAAATAACCCTTCTATTCAAGCTTACAGATCAGAATCCATCATCATAAATGTGGGTTGTATGCAGATGATCTGCTTTTTTATACTGGATATACACTCACCAGCCACGTTATTAGGTACACCTGTTCAATTGCTTGGTACCATAAATTGCTAATCAACCAATCACATGGCAGCAACTCAGTGCATTTAGGCATCTAGATGTGATAAAGACAATGTACTGAGGCTGAAACCGAGTATAAGAATGGGGAAGAAAGGGGATTATTTATTTATTTCAGGTACTTATATAGCACCGTCAATTTATGCAGCGCTTTACATACATATATTGTACATTCACATCAGGGATTAAAATGACTTTGAATGTGGCATGGTTGTTGCTGCCAGACGGGCTGGTCTGAGTATTTAAAAAAAACTGCTGATCTACTGGGATTTTCACCCACAACCATCTCTAGGGTTTACAGAGAATGGTCCGAAAAAGAGAAAATATCCAGTGAGTGGCAGTGGTGTGGACGAAAATGCCTTGTTGATGTCAGAGAAGAATGGGCAGACTGGTTCGAGATGATAGAAAGGCAACAGTAACTCATGTCAATATGGACCAAAATCCCTGAGGAATGTTTCCAACACCTTGTTGAATCTATTCCACAAAGAATTAAGGCAGTTCTGAAGGCAAAAGGGGGTCCAACCCGGTACTAGCAAGGTGTACCTAATAAAGTGGCCGGTGAGTGCATCTTCCCCCTTGACTATGCTGTCCAGTGTCCTAAAAGAATATAATAGATTTGGTGACCTTGGAAGGGTGAATGTCCTAAAAATGTACCTCTTCCCCCGTGAGACAACAAAAAAAAAGCCTGTCTAGAAGAAAAATGTAAAACTACTATCTTGGCGGTAATGCAGCCCCACTAATATACTGTGTAACATGTTATCCTCCTCCTATGACTTGTGCTGGGGCTGACTACAACATAAAAGCACATATCTGCATATCTGGTGAAGTTTCAGCATAATACAACCATTTTGGCAAAGTTTTCTTTGTGCCTTTTACTTTATACAATCTACACAAGTGAAAATATCTACTGAGATCACTTTGCTGTCTCTGCTGCCTGGTTCGAATAAGAGCATTAAAGCGGATGTTAGCTTTTGCCTTGTCACGACCTAAACAATTATTTCCAGAATGTGGAAAGCCACAGAAACTCAATTATTCTTTTACATTACGATGTGGACTACTATTGTAAATGACTTATCATCGATGGAGCACCTGCTGGCAGGTGACATAGATTGTAGGGATTGTTTTCAGCCAGACTGATCGATGCATACTGTTTTTTTATTCTACTGTCAATGTTAGATTCATAAAGCCTTTTTGAACAACACCAGCTCTAGTCATTGTTGAATGACATTCTTTCCTCTGCTTCCTTGATACCTTCAGCCTACTAGCTTCTGTGTCCCTTTACGGTAGTTACCTGTTGATATGGAGCTCCGTGCCACACTGCCCTCCTCCCTCCTTCCCTCATGCTTTGCTTTTTCTTGTACTTTTGCACAGATTCAGTCTCTAGACTTATATCTGTGCTTAGTATTCATGTCTCCCAAGTTCTTGCAATGAAATGCTGGTTCCTGAACATTTCCATGTGTGGCGAGCATTACATGTTTATATAAAGATTTTCCCAGGTATTTTTTGCTATATTTTAGCAAAGGTGAAAATAATTCCTACAAAGCTGTTTACTGGTAGTTCATAAAAACTTTCCACCCATTTTATTAATTAAAATTTTTTGCCACTTGTCTACTTTTCATAATTTTTTTTCCATCTACTTCATCCCTGCAACTTTTCATGTTAGATTGTAATCATGAGGTTTACACACAGGCAGCCAAGGCCAGTATTGAAGCGGAGCAGATATACAGACAGCATACAAGACATGGGCTGAATGATATCTTTACTGACATATGTACGCATCATGAAGACGCACAGCTGAGACAGGTGGGTATGACTGCATAGCCAGTCATTGCACTGATAAATACAACCACTGAGATTGTAGATGCATGGCTTTCCCCTTGTTAAGTTCATAATATATAAAGGATGGCTACAAAAACATGGAAGCGAATAACCAGAAACCCTGAAATTGTATGTAAGCAAGCCTATAATTTCTCATCACTTCCTGACTATTTGACAGCTGCCAGACAGAATAGGAACAGGGGACTAACAGCAATAAAACCTGGTATATTTAGTAGGGTAAAAAAGGTTTAGAAATATTATCATGTTTTTATTGCTACATATTGGCATGTTGGTTATAGCTTTCATTTTATATTTCACAGTTAAGTTTTTAGTTCAGTGTAACATTTAGATATATAAAGATATATGACTTTGTCAGAAAATTATCTTTGTTGCTTTTGTGACTGCACAACATTTTTCTGTTCTCTTTTTTTTTCCACCATCTCAGGAATCAGACACTGACCTTGAGCCAGTAAGAGTGCAGCATGAGATTGAACTTGCAGTTAAGTTGTTGGAGAAAGACATTTTAGAAAAGCAAGATACTCTCATTGGTCTAAAAGAGCAACTGGAAGAAGTAAAGGCAATTAACTTTGAGATGTACCAGAAAATGCAGGTAAAGGGGCTTGCGGAAACATTCTTTAAGATTCATTCACACCTAAGTGTTGTGGCTTATTAATACACATTCTTTCCGCATGAGCTAATGTCCGTTGCATATAGGCACTATATTCATTATGAATGGGCTCACAACGGATGAAAAGACATTCATGACCCTTTTTGGCAACACAGTGCAGGACTACACACAAGTGTGAATGGGCCCTTAACTCTGCTATTCATTAATCCGCACTTCATTGTTCATTTTCTATCCTGTAACTTCCTGCAGTTGATTGTGTTCTCCTCATTCACTTGATTTGTAAAATTTAGAGCAAATTATGTACTTGTATACAATGACTTGCTCCTGCTCCCTTAACTGGAGGTCATGCTCAAAAAGGAAAGCATTCCAGTGTGGGGCCCAGTCAGTGCAGATGTGGTACAAAGACTCCACCGAACTGAAGAGGGAAATCTCACCCATCTAGTGTAGATAACTCTAGAAGTGCCAAAGTTTAATCTGTTATAGGAGAGTAGCCTAACAAAAATCAGTGAATGGAGGGGGGGGGAATAAATTAGGGATGCTAAGCCAATCTCCTATGAACTCTTATGCCAGCTCTCTGTGAGTTCTATATACAGTAATGCCTTCCCCCATTGGATGCATTCTGTAGCTTTGCCTTGGATGACCACATTGACTCAAAAGTATAAGTAAACATGCATTTTTTAACCCCCTGATATTGTTGCTTTAAAGTACATGTAAGCCCAGACTCTGAAATCTCAATTTAACCTGTAGGGTGGCAATTTGCTGTCTCTGGTTTCAAGTTCTGCCTCTGTGAAAGCACTCAGTCACAAGGGCTTCTCATGCAGAGTAATATGTAGGCATGGTCCACTGTTGTCACCATAAGGAAATAGTGCCAACACCAACACACTCAAGAATGCCATGTATCCATCACTGGAATGCATGTAGACAGAAGGTGGCTGCAGATCACAAGCATGGAGATGCAAAACGGATGTAAAAAGTAGGTTAAAAAAAAAAAAAAAAAAACGTTCTTGCTGCCCATAGCAGTCATTCACATCTTCCTTCTTACTTAATGGAAAAAAATTGCTGTAGGTAGACAAAAGTAGTCTGCAGAGTAAAAGTACTGGTATCAAGTCAACTGTGGTGTTGCACATCGAGCATGTAATCCACTGGGATTTAATAAATTATTCTAAAGCATTTCTAAACTAAATATAAAATATTTGATTGAATCTCTGCTTGACATGCAGTGTTCGGAAGAGGAAGCCAAAAAAAGAGATGTGATTGATGAGCAGGATGGGAAGTCTTCCCAAATGTCAGCTTGCAGAAAACCATATGAAGAGAGGTAAGAAAATGCATGGAGTATCTATCTTTTGTAAAGTAAGATTTTTGTATTTGTCATAAAAATTATTTTCTAGGAGTCCATTTAGGGTCAAAGAAAGTCTTCAACCTTTAGGGTTTTACTGCCACCTACAGGAGGATGTAAACTCTCAAACAAACTGTAGGCCAGCCCTCAATAACCCCTTCAGCATGATCTTAATGGATAAGTTCACCTTTTTACAAAAAATAATAAATACACATTTTTTTGCAGTTAAAAAAACATGCATTTTCTATTTTTTGTTTTAGAAGCCTGTAAAGCATTGCACCTGCGATCAGTAGATCACAGGTGCCATGCAGGTCTTCTGCAGATTGTCAGTGTAATCAGTCTGCTTGTACCTCATACAAGCAGACAGTTTTACACTGACAGGAGGAATGAATTAACTACCACAGTGCTCAGCATAACCGTGGTAGTTCATTGAGAACTACAAGCTGACAGCCGCAAAGGTTGTTGGTACTTTTAGTTCATTTATTCATAGCGATCTGTGAATCAATGACTCGGCCGTGCAGGGGCTGTGGCAGTGAGTACAGGGAGAAGATGCCACAAAGAGGAGGGGATCGGGGGGAGAGAGTTCTGAGGCTAAACATGTTATACCCCAAATATGGGTGTAACATGTAACATGGTCAGAGAGGTGAACTTATCCCTTAAAGCAGATGGATGGGACCTATGGCCCTCAATGGACTACAAAAAAAAAATGATTTTACAGAAAGTTAAAAAAAATACTGTTTTCTTACTTATCCATTGAGGGACACAGGAAGTCTTAAGCCTGTCTAAAAGTGTTGAAATGAGTGTTAGGCTTCCAACAGGCCCCAGAAAATATTAGAAAACCAAGGACTTCCTGCAGCTGAAAGCCCTACCTGAAGGAACTTACGCTGGAAGCTGGCAGTGTCAACCTGATAGAACTTTGAGAGAGTGAAAATAGAAGACCAGGTGGAAGCCTTACATATCTGGGAAACAATTGCTTGATAGGGTTTTCTTTTCTTTCCCCCTGCATGATCAGATGTTTTCAGACTTTACAGTCTCTTGTGGTCAGGGAGTCTTCTTTTACTGGCACTAGCTATGTACAGTATTTCTCTTCCCCAAAGACTGGTTTAATATAGAAACATCAGTGAAATAAACATTCCATTAGGGCTCATTCCTTTGCAGTACTGCCAGGCCGTACAGTAGTATCTGCCACCATTTCCATTAATTTTAATGAGGAACATATTTCCTTGCTGGCTTGCAAAATGACAGGTTCTCAGTTAGGGCCTATGGAGAAAAGGCTCTGCATGCATAGTACCATACAGCCCACTGGTACTGTGGAGAATAAAAGAGTTTTGCATGGTGACCTGAGGTCTGGAGTAGAGGTGAGGATGAGTACAGATAACATGAGGTTGGAACTGGCTACGCATTATTGAAAGGTATTATTTAAGCACTGTTTACCAAGTTGATACATTCTAAAAAGTGGTTACATTGTTTAATAATAAAACTACAACATTTCCTAATAAACTTAATTTGTTTTCTCTCTTTTTTTGTTTCCATTTTATTTATTTTCCCCTTATTTTGAAACCATTTTATAACAAACAGCGATAAAGATGTTTTAAGCCAATCTAGGAACATTGAAATAACGTATGTGAAGGCTGCAAGTGTTGAATCCGCCCCCCAATATAAACTTATTAAAGATATATCATTCTAGCACTGTATGACCAAATATGCATTATACAGTAATTTTATTAACATCTATGATATATTGTAAAATATATGTACTACAATATCTAACTAACCTATATGTTTGTTATTAAACATATTTATACAGACACTCTAGAAAACAGTATATATAAATATATTATTTTGTGTACTACAGTAAGTGCTCCAGGTTCTCATTGGATAGTAAAAAATGTATTTGTATTTCAACCTGGTCATTTTAGTTTTTTATTTTAACTTTGCCCGCTTATGTCTGTTTAACATACTTTTAAGTTTTACCTATTTACACCCAAATAATTTGCACTCCAGCAAAGAACACATTAATCAGAAGGATGTCAGGCTCCATATTGTGGTGCTGTAACTTGAACATAAAATGAGGATTCATGACAAGTCATTGTGATGTATTTTTATTTTATTTTTTCTTTTATATATAGCAAAGGAGACCTCTTTATTAGGAAAATCAAGTCCAGTGAGAGTATTGGTCTTCCTCCTATACAAGGCCAGAGATACATTACTAGGAGACAAAGCTAGGAAGCTTCTCTCATTTGGGAGAGTATCAATTGTGTAGGAACCTCCTAGCTGCTGGCCTATTCTCCTTCCCCTCAATGAAGTTGGTTCCCATATTATACAATTGTGTAAAAATATGGGTTGCTACAGGTAATACATACCTGCAGATTCTGGAATGTCCCAAAGAAGCACCCCAACATAGAGATGTGCTTTCTTTTTTCCGAGAGCAGTTCTTTTACCCTTTTGCCTTCATAGTAGGGGAGCCAAAAAGCACATGTGATATACACCTTGTGTAAACAGTGCATAGCTTAGAGAATCAAATAATATAGTAAAAAAGGCACCAACAGTATTCTCAAAGTAAGTATATTCCTATTATCCCAAAATAATAAAAATATTAAAGTGACAATCTGTGCTTGCCAGTGGATCAAACAACGCTGCAGTACTAATAATTAGGAAATCACTAAAGCTGACCATAAAGCTGGCAATCTGATTGTAAAATTTCTTTTAGATTTACCAAAACTATGTAATAAGAGGACAAACCTAAGCAATCAATTTGTATCTAGTTAGGCAGGCCCTTGTACTACATACACTGCTCAAAAAAAGTGAAAGGAACACTTTGAAAACACATCACATCTCAATGGGGAAAAATATCATGCTGGATATATATACTGATATGGACTGGGTAATGTGTTGAGAATGTAAGGATGCCCCATCATTTGATGGAAATGAAAATGATCAACCTACAGAGGACTGAATTCAAAGACAACCCGAAAATCAAAGTAAAAAAATGATGCAGCAGACTAGTCCATTTTGCTGAAATTTCATTGCAGCACCTCAAAATGGTACTCAGTAGTTTGTATGGCCCCCACGCGCTTGTATGCTTGCCAGACATCGGGGCATGCTCCTAATGAGATGATGGATGGTGTCCTGGGGTATTTCCGCCCAGATCTCGACAAGGGCATCATTGAGTTCATGGACAGTCTGAGGTGCAACCTGGTGGTGTTGGATGGACCGAAACATGATATCCCAGAGGTGTTCTATTGGATTTAAATGAGGCGAGCGTGGGGGCCATTTAATGGTATCAATGCCTTTATCCTCCAGGAACTGCCTGCAAACTCTCATCACATGAGGCCGGGCATTGTCGTGTACCAGGAGGAACCCAGGACCCACTGCACCAGTGTAGGATCTGACAATGGGTCCAAAGATTTCATCCCGATACCTAATGGAAGTCAGGGTGCCATTGTCTAGCCTGTACTAGTAAAAAAAAAAAAACATCAGAAAAGATGAGTAGGGTAAAAAATGTCAGTGGCTTCCACCTGTAAAACCATTCCTGTTTTGGGGGTTATCTCACTGTTGCCCATCTAGTGCACCTGTTGTTAATTTCATTAACACAAAAGCAGCTGAAATGGATTAACAATCCCCTCTGCTACTTAACTGACCAGATCAATATCCCAGGAGTTTAATTAACTTGATGCTATACTCTGGTTAAAAAGTGTTCCTTTAATTTTTTTGAGCAGTGTAGTTGATGGCAGATCTAAAGTAGATTGTACAATTAGATAGTATAGTGTATTGCCAGCCTAAGACTGCTTCACAACAGATTCCTCAGTGTAAAGTCCCATAAAATAAACAATGTTGTACAATTATTCAGTAACTAAATGAAATAAAATATAAATTCTAAGTCTGCTGCGTGTTCAGTCCAGTAGAATATATCCTCGTAGAAACGTCACAGAAACAGAAGGCAGTATATGTATAATGCTAAAGCAAAACAATGTCCTTATAGAACTGATTTCCTGTGGGAAAGTCATCCGAGCCGATTCACTGTTAATGACACTATCCCCCTTAGGAGTGTAGTCGTTGGTAAACCAATAATGGTAGTTGCAGTGAGAGACACAATTTGCTTTTGTGGTGAGCTGCCTAGGACACTGTTTACTTGTGCCCAGTAAGTTTTCAGTCTGTATGGAAGAAGAAATTGTGCATGCTAGAGGCTGATAAAGAGTCAGCCGTCAGTCATTGGTTTAGGAGAATATGTAATTCCCCTTCTTCTAATACCTGTGGCCCTTACTCTTCTAAACATTCCTACTTTTGTCTCAGTAGGGTAGCAATCCTTATGTGTAATAAATTAAACTATTTATTGTGCCTTCTTTAAAAGTCAAAAACATAATCTTAAATAAAGTCCTATTAAACATCATGTGAGGCTGCCTGTTTTTAAAAAATGTTTTATATGAAAAGAGGAATAAAAAAACACTAACATACCACCGTCAGTCTTGTACAGGAGTTGTAACAAACCTGTACGTAAAGATAAAACACAAACATTTAAACGCAAGGGTTTCAGATAGTTCATATTATACTGTAGATCCAACCTGTTTCTATTATATTGTCTCCCCCTCTGGCAACTTTATAGACTTTCTCTAATGCTCAAAAGTGCCTTGTACATTACTGGCGTGTAACTGTTTTTAGTGTGTTTCTGTTTATGTTTTAGAATGCCTAGGTGTTCTTTCATACAGCATGTACTTTAAGTTCTCACCTTGTAAGATTTATGTACTGTTTTTCACATGGACATTGTATGTGGTGTAGCACACCTTTAGTGTAACAAGTTAATAACTCTTTTATAGTAAACCTTTCTTTTGTGTCAATTAAAATTAAATGTTTTCTTATTTGCAGTTCCATATTTCATTATCATACATCTGCAGGCCATATGTTTTATACATCTCACAATACTGCCCTTAACAGATAGTATAGTAAATCTTTTTGTCTGTGGCTCTTATCTAGTAAGATAGGGGTGATATTTAGAGACAGATCGGGTATTTTCTATTTGAAAACAAACCTTGGACTTTTACATTCAGAAATTGAACTTTTTATGTTCAATTAAGTAGATTCAAAGCAATCTACTGTTTATATCTTCAATTTTTCTGGGGCTAGATTATACTTAGGAACCATCCATTTTCTTAGATACTCCGACTGATTGATCTTTTTTGGTATCTACAAACACAGTTCTATATATTGTTTTATATCTTTGTCATCAAAACCTATAGACTGATCAGATATAATATTAGGAACACTGACAGGTAAAGTATGTAATATTGATTATCTCATTACAATGCCATTTGAAAGTGGGTGGGATATATTAGACAGCAAGTGAGTATGTTGTCCCAGAAGTTGATCTGTTAAAAGCAGAAAAAAATTGGCAAGTGTAATGTTTTACCGACTTTGACAATTAAAATGTTTACTGCCTCTTTGCAGAAGGCTACCATATTATAAACTTTATTACATTCTTGTCTGGGCATGGCAGCAACATTTTCTAAAGGTCAGAAATACTACAGCAGATTCTGCTAGAGATGTGCATGTTTCTTAACCTCCCTGGTGGTATTCCCGAGTGTAGCTCAGGGTAAAGTTTCAGCACCACAAGCGGTAACCCCGAGCTACACTCGGGAATACCCTGCAGTGCTGTTCCGAGGTCTCTTCTTCACTTACCTTGTCCTGCGCTCCCGAACGATGTCCCTCCTGCACTGTCCCCTGCAATATCCTCCGGCGGATGTCGGCATCTGTCTTCTGGGTTCCGTTCCCTGCAACGTCGGGACGTACAGAGGATGGAACTGGCGGGAAATTTGAAAGTTGTAAAAGTGACATTCACTAAATTCACTAAAATAACATAGTAAAACATTACTGTATCAAAGCATTTCACATACATTTTGTCCCGAGTGCTTTTTCCTGTCCCTGCCTGCATTTTTACTGTTCTTTCTGCCTGGAAACTGAGAAATGTCCATGGTGTCCAAAAAGCGTCCCTTTAGGTCAAAAGCGGTTTTAGACCATCTAGAGAACAGCGATAGTAAATTAGAACTACTTGCAGAATTGAGTGATAATGATTCGTGGGGAAATTCGTCATCAGACACTGAAAACGATTTTGCGACTTTGCTCAGTGATGTGCGAACTTGGAGCTTTATTTCAAATTTCAGTGTTCTTTGTTTGATTATATTATTTAATTAAATTTATTATTATATATATATTTATTTTTTATGATTTTTAGTAAATTATAATTTATGATTTCGTGTTTCAAATTTTAATATACCCGGGATGTTTACTAGACTCTAGTTCTAGTTAATATACCCGGGATGTTTTCTAGACTCACAGATTTCAGTGAGTTATTCCTAAAAATTACAGGCCTACAATAAAAAAGATACATATTTCCATGCAAAAAAATGTACTGCTTTGAGCACAGAAATATGGACATAATCAGACCGCTAGGGAGGCTACAATATGTGGTGTGGCTACTGTTTGTGCACAAAGGGTTAACTGCAGGTTTAACCTGCCCCAGTGATGTCTACTCTCAATCTGATGACCCATGTCAAAAGCCAAAAGCACCTAAAATGGGCACCTGAGCATCTGAACTGGACCACTCAGCTATGGAATAAGGTGGCCCATTCTAAAGAATTCAAGAATAGTTTGAGGAACAAGACAACGAGTTTGCAGTGTTGACTTGGCCTCAAA